CTTTTATCGCTGAAAAGTGGTTCAAACTGTGGTCTTGCTTTCTGATTAAAAACATTTTGAATTCACCCTGAAACTCAAAAATATGTTTTAAAACTATTCCTCTCGGCAACCATCACACTTGAAGGTGAAATAGCAGAGCATTATTCAGGGCATCCAACTCATTGCACAGTTGCGATATCAATCGACTGTTTAAAGTGTTCGCCTTTACAAAATTGACAGAACTAATGCTGCTTTTCATTGCTTCTTGTAACTCCTGTGGCAGCGTCTTCGTTGCTAATATTTGCTGATGAATCACACAGTGAGTTCCAATGACTTTTGGTGACTCATTCAGTACCAAACGCTGAAATCCAGATCGACATCCTAGCATAACTGGAGCCTCATCTGTGCAAACACCACAAACCTTCTTCCAAGAGATCTTAGGCTCTTTCAGAAATGAACCAACAGTGTAAAGTACATCACATGCAGTAGTTGTCGTTTCAAGAGGTTTGCAAAATAGAAACTCATCTTTAAAGTCGCCGTCATTAGTATACCTCACACAAACTAATAATTGTGAAGAGTTTGCAACATCTGTAGATTCATCAAGCAGGATGCTAAATATTGGAAGTGGAGCAGATTGAATTTCCTGGGTTATCTGATCAAGAACATCAGCAGACATGTCATCTCTTCTTCTGTGGAGAGTGCCGTTAGATAAGGAAATTGCACTCTATTTCTTAACAAATTTGTCCCCAATCACAACACGAACAATGTCTTTGGCCGCTGGCAACAGTAAGTCCTCAGCAATGGTGTGAGGTTTCCTAGCTCTGGTGATTCTGAGTGACACCAAATAGGAAGCTTCGATGGCTGCTACGTTTTGTTTGTGGTTCTTGACCAGTGTCAAGTCTGGCTTTCTTGAGTCCATCAGCTTTGCTTCTAAAAGAGTTGGTACCCTTGCAGGCAAACCTGGGATGCTTACGATCAAAATGCCATTTTAGTCCATTCAGCTTCATAGATTCTGCTGATAGAACTTCACAACAGATAACACATTGCGGTTTCTCAATTCCTGCTGCAATTATTATTTTTAAAAATCATTTTATTAGGGGCTCATACAACTCTTATCACAGTCCATACATACATCAATTGTGTAAAGCACATTTGTAGATTCATTGCCCTCATCGTTCTCAAAACATTTCCTTTCCACTTAAGCCCCTGGCATTCGGTCCTCATTTTCCCCCTCCCTCCCCGCTCCCCTCATGAGCCCTTGATAATTTATAAATTGTTATTTTGTCATGTCTTGCCCTGTCCGACGTCTCTCTTCACCCACTTTTCTGTTGTCCGTCCCCCAGGGAGGAGGTCACATGTAGATCCTTATAATCGGTTCCCTCTTTCCAACCCACTCTCCCTCTACCCTCCCAGTATCGCCACTCACACCACTGGTCCTTTAGGGATCATCCACCCCGGATTCCCTGTTTTCCTGTTCCTATCTGTACCAGGGTTATTGAGGAAAACCATAGTGTAAGAAATCCTCACTATATTTTCTTTTCTTAACTTTCTTCTGTACATGATCCATTGTCTACAAGCATCTACCTCCAGAACAGTTTACTCAGCAATTGGCCTTTTTGGGGGGTATACATGAATATTAACTGAGTAGATGAATTTTCATTTTCTGAAATACTGACCCGTTGCTATAATCCTTATTTCAAGAGCCACAGATGAGTCAGAGGGACAGGCATTATCATTCAACTCATACACCTACCTGACATGACTTCCAATATTATAGAGTGAAAAAGAAAGCCCAGAACAATATCTCCTTTTCTGGAGGGCTCCCCTGCCTCTGAAATGTGACATTTTGCTGTTATTTCCCACTACTGTTTTTAATTACTAGCTCTGTTCGCATGAAATGAGGATTTGGGTTGCCTAGGAGTTCATCTGCTCCTCCTGCATATCCCTCTCTTAAACAAGTGCAACCTGTTCTGCTTGCTGATCCAACATTCTGACTGTGTCCTCACCTCCCTTGCCAGAGAGAGGGGTACCTTTAAAGTTCACCGTCAGGAGGCTTTGGTGGACCGCCAAAACATCAGGAGGGGTCATATGATCAGAAATAGGCAAAGGGAATTGCTGAGTGAAGGGATGGCCGCAAACGATTCCAAAACATTCTCTCAGAAGGGAAAGACAATCTGGGGCTCATATTTAAAGTGTTGTGAGACTTTCTTTGCACATTTTTTAAATCTTGGAAGGATTTCTTCGCTGGGCTTCATAGCACCGCAAATAATGTTGCATTCAATCAAGCTTCGTTTGAGGATCTTAAAGGAGTCTTTAATACCTTTGTTCCTTTGGTCACAGCCCTGTTTTTGTTTTTTTTTTCTTTTTTAACATTTTATTAGGGGCTCATACAACTGTTATCCCAATCCATACACACATCAATTGTGTAAAGCGCATTTGTACATCGTTTCTCAAAACATTTTCTCTCCATTTAAACCCCCGACATTAGGTCCTCATTTTTCCCCTCCCTCCCCATTCCCCCCTCCCGCATGAGCCCTTGATAGTTTATAAATGAGTATTTTGTCATATCTTGCCCTGTCCGACGTCTCCCTTCATCCACTTTTCGGTTGTCTGTCCCCCAGGGAGGAGGTCACACACAGTTCCATGTAATCAGTTCCCTCTTTCCTACCCATTCTCCCTTTACCCTCCCTGTTTTGCCACTCACACCACTGGTCCTATAGGGCTCATCCGTCCTGGATTCCCTGTATTTTCAGTTCCTATCTGTACCAGTGTACCTCCTCTGGTCTAGCCAGTCTTGCAAGATAAAATTCGAGTCATGGTAGTGGGAGCGGGGCACAGCCCTGTTTTTAGGGCTGACAATACAGTTGCTGGGTATTTAAAGGCAAAACAACCCAATTATTTTCACCCGGACTACAAGAAAATGACTGGTCTAGGGTCTCAGTCCACCTCCATCCCCTACTCAATTGGTGAAGCTCTCAAGCGTAACAACTTCCAAAGGTAGGTTGTTGAGCAAAGAAAGCACTTGGGGAGGCTGTGGACTTTGCTGTGTGCAGCCCAGCTTTCTAGTGAGAAAGCCAACTTGGGAGACAAGGGCTAGTCCATTGTCGGACTGAGAACCAATAACTCCCTTCAGCTCTCCACTTGCAACCAGGGATGTCTCCCCTTACCGATTTTCAGATTCCATTTTAAAGATCCTATCTAACTGTCCTTCCTGTACCAGAGATAAAGGATACCAGACTACAGCTCTGTATTGTCTTTCTCCTGGTTTTTACAGGAGATTGATTTGGAGCATTTGATTCTGCTGTTTTTGGTTAGTATATAATCCTTCTTGATGATTTACTGATAGTTTTGTTCATTTGGTAGCTTTCCCCAATTTCACTTAGTTAACTTTATTTTATGATGTCCTAAAGAATGAATCCTGACAAATCAGTATAAGATTCTGTGCAAAGCAAAACAAAACAAACACCCCTGCTTTGGTCATCTCTGTTATAGAATAAGCTGGATGTCGGCATTTGCTCTTTGTTCTCAGCTGTGTGTATTTTATACGCATTGATGACACTCTCCTCCATGGCCAACCTTCTATCATTAGAATGTCTTCCGAGAGAATTCTTTGACTGTAGCAACTGGGTGGCAGCATTGACTGCAAATCAAAGACCAGGACCTGTTGTTGGTTGTACAATGTCTTCTTAGAAGTATCTGCTTTCATTATTGCAAACTCGAAGCAGTGACATAAAGATCTCTGTCCTGCGTAGATGCAGTGACATTCAGCCACAGAAGGCCTATGGCCACTCTGAACAAAAGAACTTCTATTTTCACATTCTGTGGCTGATGCGGAGTGATAACATTTTGCATGTCCTAAACATTTTTATGCAGATGCTGCTTAAGGCACACAAAAAACGCTTTCACAGTAATCTTCTTTGTGAATGAGATTTAAACTCTTGGCCTTTTCAATATGCCTGTCAAAATCTGAGTCATAAACTTTGATAGTGTGTGAACAAAAACCTGAACCTGTGGCTGCTTTTCGTCTGCTTCAAAAAAGTATACCGATTCACCTTGTATAAAAAGCTAAAAAAGCAATATTTCTAAGCAATTCCATACACCAGGACTTTTAAGGAATAATGTATTCTTTTCCATACACCAGGACTTTTAAGGAATAATGTATTCTTTTTCATCCTGGCAGCTGTGATGAGCCAGTGGCTGTGATGACCCAATTCTCACTTTCCATGGAGACCTGGGTTCAATTCTTGGCCAATGCATTTTATGTCCAGTCACCAACTCTCTGTCAGCAGGGTAGCTAACACATTTGAGCAGGATTTCCAGACTAAGGTGGTACTAGGGGCTGCAGAGTCAGGTACAATTCACAGCAATCGCATGAGTCACAGAAGGCAACACTGCCCTGTCCCGCACCATGCGCACCTTGTTGTTATGTTTGAGCCCATTGCGTCAAGCACTGTGTCCCTCCATAGTTGTACGTTGAGTACCTCCAACCGGAGGCAGGTTCGACTTCCAGTATTCTACTAGACAGTGTTCTGCAACTGTCCATGAGGTTTCAGTGGCTAATCTCTCTGAAGTGGACCACCCCCTCCTGCCTGTCTGTCCATAGTTGGGGAGCTCCACTGAAATTGGTCAAGCACAGGACCATGGGGGTATTTCAAATGCCAGTGGCAGAGCTTCCAGCAGCATGGCAATATGCAATTCTCCACAGTATGACAAACAGACAGGCCAATGGTGGAATAAGTTGAACTAAGAGTAAGGGCAGGACCTCTGGTGGGCCATGGGTTGGGCTGCTAACCACAAGGTCAGTAGTTCAAACCCAGCAGCCCCTCAGAAGGAGAAAGCTTTATGCTTCTGTAAATATTTACAGCCTCAGAAACTCAAAGGGGCAATTCTACTCTGTTTTACAGTGTCATTGTCAGTCGATATAGACTCCATGGTGCCGGGCGATAAAGGCCTAGAAATCTATTTCTGAAAATCAGCTAATTAAAACCTTACGGATCTGATGGTCTGGTCCTCAATCAGGCATGAGGATGGATCAGGACTGGGCGGTGGACCACTCTGCTGTGTCGCCAGAAATTGGAGGTCTATTCTATGATGGTTAACAACAACACTAATGTATTTTTTTACCAAGGAGAGTTGCACGGCCCACCTCTGGGAGACTAACTGAGCCTGTGATGAGTGGACATTGGGTTGAAAAGGGAAAAGTATCAGCAATTCATATATTTTTCTCATATTATTGTGTCTCTAACAATTATAAAACCTTCATAAACCTTTATAATAAGGGAACAAAATTTTAAAAAATGGAACAAAATGAAATACAAGATGCTGTATGAGCTGTAGGGTAAATAGAAGACAAAATATTTGTCTTAGAAATAATTCTAGGAGTCATCTGTCTCAGCTTTCTCAAGTATAAAATAGAATGAGAAATTTTGAATCTACCAGTATAACACTTACAGAAATAACTGAGATAGAAAAATAAATCAGTCTTTAGGCATTTTATGAAAAATCTTTGACACTGGATAACTGTAAGGATAGATCTCTACTTTTGAGTAATTAATTTGGTTATAATAACCAAATTGGTTTGTGCACATGAAGACAATTTTATTGATAATTCAATATATCCTAGAGTGAAACGACCAAGCATACTCCAAATTGATGTATTGCGATACAGATTTATTTTGGTTGAAGTTTTTTTGAAATGTGCTGACAGGTTCCTAACTGATATGTTTTGCAAATCCTTGAAGGCAACTAAGCAGAGAAGCCTTAACATAACTGGATAAGATGCGGCAGTGCCCTATCTTTAATAAATCACATGCATGTTGACAAGTTTATTGAAAAACTTTTTATTTACTGCACAGAAAGCATTGTGATAAAAATAATACATGTACAATTTGGTGACTAACGATGGCTCCATCAATTAAACAATGACCGTTTTTGTGCTTCCTTTCACAGTACAAATACAAGTGGAGGAAAACGAAGAGGATACGGAGGAATGCTCTAGTAAGTGGGGACAGGCCTATGGAGCACAGCTGCGTCCTGTGCAGTGGTGTTGATTATCCAACAGAGAAGCTAAGCAAAGGCTAGCTTGTGCTTACTTACTAATTAAATGAACCATTTCACACATTTTTCACCACAGCAAAATGCCGTTTCTAGATACGGCTGGCATATGTCTATCTTCCATTTTCACAGCACAGTCCTACAGAATCAGAGCCTTTTTTATTTCAAATGTACAATCCATAACAAGGAAAGAGTATCCGATGAGCAAGGTAAGCACAGGCTTACTTTTGCTTGTTTACTATTCTACCGCGAACAATTTCACCTAAATTTCACACCATCTCGGCTTCAGAGATGAGGTTAACCATGTGAAACTATTCACTACAGACTAGTAAGTAAGCACCCATAAGCATGTGCTGCCCAGGCTTTTTGGGCTACATGGCCCTGCTCTGGAACAGAAATGAATTCAAGGGACACATCATTTTAATGTGTGGATTATTTACCCATGATAGTTGATGGTCTCAGACAAAGGATCAAGTCCAGGGGATGGAAGCGTTACCCTTAAGCCCAAGGAATGAATCCCCACCCTTCATTTGCTTACACACTCAATTCATAAGTGTCCATGATTTTAAAAGGCCAACTCAAACCCACTGCATTTGAGTTGAGATTCTGCCCTACAGGGTTTCTGGGGTTGTCAATCTTATCTGGAAACCTTCTGCCACCTCTTTCTTCCGTGAAACAACTGATGGTTTCACCTGCCCGCCTTTAGTTAGTACTGAGCGTGTCACAATTGTATGGCCAGGGCTCCTCCTGAAGGAGAGGATAGTGCAAGAAGTTGTAGCTTTTTAAATTCTCCACTACTCTGTCTGGAAAAGCCTTTTCTAGAAGATACAATCTATCGTACTAACAAATTGACCATTTTTGACGGAACTGATCAGGTGGTCCAATGAAAATAAATGCATTGATTTTCCTTTGTACTGAATTCACAGGTATTTTGATCAAATTCCGCTGCGGTTGTACTTGGTGTAGACTCGGATTAAGAATCGCCGGTTGCTTTGTGGTTAAATCCCTCAACTGCTAACTGAAAGAGGTTCAACTGCTAACTGAAAGAGGTTAGGGCATGGAACTCATCAGCATTTTGCTGGAGAAAAGTGTAGCAACCTGTTTCTATAAAGATGAAGTCGGGGAAACCCTATCAGGCAGTTCTGATTTGGTCCACAGGGATGCTATGCGGCAGAACCTACAACTATGAGGTTGTGGAGTTGGTCCTGTGTTGGTTGGATCAGCATTCTAAGATTGTGACTGTTTCCAGGCACATAGTCCATTTGTGAACTGGAAGAACTTAAAGATCATTAGATGAGAAGAAGTTCTGATTGTTACCAAAACTGAAAGAAAGCAACATCTACAGAAACGTTTAATTAAAAGGGAGTTTAATGTGCTGAATACAAGTTCCCAGTTCGCGATGACAACTGCTTTCATGATTTATTTCCTCAACGAAGCAGCCCAGAGTCCCATGCCATTCTGGGTGCCACAACTCAAAGACTAAATTAAGACAGTTACAAAAGGGGGGACCGATTACAAGGAGCTACATATAACCTCCTCCCTGTGGGATGGACAACAGAAAAGTAGGTGAAGGGAGACATCAGACAGTGTAAGATGTGACAAAATAATAATAATTTATAAATTATCAAGGGTTCAAGAGGGAGGAGGGAGGTGGGAGGGAGGGGGAAATGAGCTGTTATCAAGGGTTCAAGTAGAAAGCAGATGTTTGGAGAATGATGATGGCGACAAATGTACAAACATGCTTGACACAATGGATGGATGGATGGATGGATTGTGATAAGAATTGTCTGAGCCCCCAATAAAATGAATGACCAAAAAAAAGGTAGTTTTGAATGCAGCTCTACAGTGATTAGTCAGTTGTAACATGTTCACTTTTTAGAATTTGAATATTTGGAAACTACATTAAGTGGCTTTACTTAATGTGGGGTGGGGGCTATGGAGGATACCAGGTGTGTTAATCTGGGTAGACTAGAAAAACAAATCCACAGAAACTCATATGTATATGAGAGCGTTTTATATAAAGGGTAAGTGTACATTCAGAAAGCATCCCAACCCAGTGATGTCCAAGCCCTTAAGTCAAACATTAGCCCATATGTCTGACACTGATATACAAAGTCCTCCTCAATCTCACATAACACAGGCAATGAGGGGACTGTAGGAGGAAAGCCAAATCAGTGAACATGTAAGCATCTCAGCACTGGCAGGGGTCTCCACATGGCTGCTCCACATGGCTGCTCCACAGCCCTGCTCCCAGGGCTGCATCAGGGTAGGTCCATGTGGCTTCTCCTCAGGGATGTCTTGCAAGAAGTGAATCCTGAAAGCTGAAGCAAGGAACTGGCTAAGGCAGCTGCACCTTGGTTGGACCATCAGAGGGCAAGAGACCAGAGAACAAGAAAGGCGAGGCTCACCGAGCCATTTATCTCTCCCCCCTTCAGTTAATCCCACATGTGTTTATCGGCCAGGTTGGCACAATGAACCTTAACTATCTCACCAGGTGATACTGACAGAGGAGATAATAAAAGAATGATTGGCTATAAAATTTATGCAGAGTGTTTCAGCAGAAATGTATTATCATTGTCAGCCCCACAATTTAAACGCATCAGTTCTACCTTGGTCTTCTTTATTCAATGTCCAGCTTTCCCACTCATAGAAGGCGATTGAAAATACTGCGTCTTTCTACCGTAGTCCTCAAGGTAACATCTTTGCTTCCAACACTTGAAAGAAGTTTTGTGGAGCAGATTTAGCCAATGCAATGCGTCCTTTGATCTGTTGCTGCTTCCATGAGCGCTGGTTGTCTATCCAAGCAAGATGAAAATTTTGGCTATTTCCTAAAAGGCTAAAACTCTCTGTTAATTTGCATTATATATTTTCTGATGGTGACTTAGTGTGTTACCTGTTGGGCCACTAATCACAAAGTCAGAGGTTGGACCTACCAGCCATTCTAC